TCACACTTATCCACTCAGGAACACGGAGCAAGATCTTTATCTACCTACCCCACGCTCAGAGTTAGTTAAAAGTTCAAAATTATACAACTCGAAAAAAATGCACAATCACCTGCCATATGAAATCAAATCCATAACATCATTTTTTTCATTTCGCAAAGCATTGAACTCTTATTTACTAGACAAGGCTTTCTACGCCGTAAATGAATTATATTTGAATTGAAAATCGAATTTGATCTTGAAAACACTGGTCTAATGTTTGCTATTGCTATATTTACTAATGACATCGAAATTAATTTATTTAGAGGTCATTGATCTTTTGCTATAAACTGGCTAAATATTTTTGAATATTATTTTAATTTTTTTTGTTCTTTGACATTGTAAACATTTATATATGTTTATTTTAACAATAAGACTGACAATATTATTTGTATAATGTTTAGTATTATCTTTTGTTTGTTTGTTTGTGTACCTTGTTTTTTTTTTACTTTGTTTGTTAGTTTACCTTTGTCCACAAATTGAAAAATTTTTTGACAATAAAGGCATTTATTTATTTATTTATTTATTTGTATGAAGACGTAAACAAGTTCTATATTCAGTTTAGTGTTGGTATCTACTGTGATGTAGTAAGTTAGTGTGTATATTTATTGGAAAATGGCGCAAAAGGAATATACTGATGATGGGCTCACAAAAAAGAAATTCCTGCCGAATTTGCTTCTAGAGTTGCGAAGAGCAATCCTTCAGCACAAGGACTTGTACTTCTAAACGTTCTAAGAAGTAAATAAAATAGTAACAAGTTTCACAAAACTGTAAAAGCAGCAATAAAATAATTTCTTGCCAAAAGCACAGTTTCTATAAATCCTGCTAAAGAGATTCAACCTAATTCAAACCGAAGATGCGGCTTTTGCGCCAGATCACGTAAGAGAAAAACAAAAATATTATGTAATACATGCAAAAGCCCCATTTTTAATATTCTCGGCAAAGAATGTAAAACGTTTTTGACTGCCAAAATAATGTGTAGAAAACTAATAAGAGTTGAGTTTTAAAATTAAATGTTTTTTATATTAAACAAATACAAAATATTAAAATTATTGACGTTTTATTATTAAACTTTACAAATAAACCTGAGTGACAAAATATTAATTGTTTTTGAAATATTTCAGTGGAGTATCGTAGTTACCCCACACGGCCTGAAACGTAACTTTTTGTAGCACGGTCCCGGAAAGGTTAAACCTGTTTCCACAAACGCACAAACAGCAAATCCCTTTGATGTACCGACATCGGCCGGAACATCGCCAATCGGTTTGCGACCGTTCGCGAACGTTTGCAAACATTCTAAATCCACATCTCCACCGGACAAATAAATGTGTTTGCAAATATTGCTGATCATTCGCGAACATTTGCAAACATTATGCGCGCTTGGTAGAAACGCACCTTTATAGGTAACGGGTGTCCCACTAAGAATAGCTCTCGGCTGTATCTCGGAAAGTATTAGCCGTAGGGCTTACGGAAAAAAATATTTATAACTAAAGGGGCTATGAGAAATTGCTGGAAATTATTTTCAAGTTTGTAAAACGGCCGCTAGGTGGCGCAACTGCTATAGAAAATGAGAAAATAGATTTTTTACAGAATTTTGCCTAGATAATGGGTACTATAAATAATAGCTTCATAATCTTCAGTAAATTTTGGATTTTTTTTGTTAGAACCATATTCCCATATCTGCTAAAATAAAGTGGTGGGGGAAGGTTATATCTATCTTTATTTAAATGTAATAACTCCGGACTGGATGATCAGAATCCAACAAACGAGGGCTCATTTAAAAGAGCGTTTCTTACTCTATATTATACCATAATAATAATATGGTTTTGAAGTAGACGCTAGGGGGCGCTCTCTTACAATTTAACAAACAGCGCGTTTTTTCAAAAAAATTAAATACGATAGTTTGTGCTATTTAGCTGGTAGTAAAGAGTAGTAAAAGCTTAAAAAGTCAGCGAAAACCGCATCTTGATATCTTCTTTCAAACCGAAGATATTAGCAAAATTATAATAAATACCAAAAAATAAGCCCTTAATTACCTTATTTTTACAATACAGTATCAGTAGCCCTCTTGATTAGGCCCATTCTAACAAAAAAATAAGATAGAAACAGTTAGTTTATTTTAAAATCGACGAAATACCAGAATATCGTAATATCAGATGTATTAATACCTAATAATTAAGATATTAATAATAGTGAACAAGAAACGATGATTCAGTGAAGTCATGGTAGGCTTTGAAAAAAAGTTGCTTTTCGCGTAATATATAGTATAAACGTCAAATTGTTATTAGATCAACATTTTGAAAGTCTTAGCAGCGTTTTTTTTTATCTTTTAAATGCTTTTTCAAAATGCCTTTATTATTTGAAGTAGTTGAAGTTGTTGGCATTTTGAAAAAGCAATCAGAAGATAAAAAACGCTGCTAAGACTATCAAAATGTTGATCTAATAACAATTTGACGTTTATACTAGTAGAACTATCAAGATGCGGTTTTCGCTGACTTTTTAAGATTTTTCTACTCTTTACTATTAGCTAAAATTACATATACTATTGCATTTATTTTTTTTGAAAAAACACGCAATGTTTGTTAAATTGTAAGACAACGCCCCCTAGCGTCTACGTTCAAAAGCTTATTAATATTGTTTATATGGTACAATATGGAGTAAGAAACGCTCTTTTAAACGAGCCCTCGCTTGTTGGATTCCGATCATCCAGTCCAGAGTTATTAATATTCAAATAAAAACAGATCTAACCTTCCCCCACCACTTTATTTTGGTAGATAGGGGAAAATGGCTCTAACAAAAAATATTCAAAATTTACTAAAGATTATGAAGCTGTTACTTATAGTACACCTTTTCTAGGCAAAATTGTGGAAAAACTCCATTTTCTTATTTTTTGTTGCAGTAGCGCCCCCTAGCGGTCGTTCTACAAACTTGAAAATAATTTCCAGCAATTATCCATAGCCTCTTTAGTTATAAATATTTTTTTCCGCAGCCGCTACGGCTAATACCGTATGATCGAGAAAAAACGGCGTCAGCGATGTCTATGAAATGAAAATCGCTGTTATTTTATATATAAATTTATATGGGAAATGTCATCGATCGTCATTTCCCAGCCAACTAGACGCCGTTTTTTTCGATCATACGGTACTTTCCGAGATATAGCCGAGAGCTATTCTTAGTGGGACACCCTGTACAATAACGTAGTAGTATAAGCAGTACAAATAACAATAGTGAATAGTAATGTATATAAATAAATAGTTGAGTAATATACAAAAATAAAATTAAAACTAATGTAGCACTGTAATGCAATGTATGTAAGTACTAACCTTTGCAGGTACTGCACTGAGTGCACTGTCAAGAATTAAGATTTATCAACAAAAGAAAATTAACGAAAAGACAACTACGTAGAACATAGAAATTTATATTTATTTATTTTTTAAATAGATTTAAAAAATAAATAAATATAAAAGTAATATTATTGAAATAATTACAAAATAAATATTAATTAATAATTGTAAACAAATATATAAATACTGATTAATAAAATAATAAAGGCAACTAAATATACAGGGTTGTTCACCTTCACCACATACAACACGGAGTATTGTAGCTAAACGATTAGATATTTGACGAATGCTGATGTATAACAACAGAGACGTTCATTTTCATAACTTATTATTATATTGATTTCTGATTCAAATCCATATCTATTTAGAATAATTTATTAACTAACACAATTAAATATGTAATTAATTAATATTTGAGCGGAAATAATTGTGGTATATTTAATTAATGGTATACTCTTTTATAAAGATTTAAATAATTTCCTTTTTGTGTACAAATAGCTTAGTAATATTATCGTTTTTAGCACCTGTACATTTGTTGCTTTAAAAACATTCAAGATGTTAATATTCCATGGGTATATCGATAAATGAGGTCCAAATTAAAATAAAATGCATTTTCTACAAAAACTTGAAGGGATAGGTAAAAAATGGTATAATACAATTTGATAGACAATTAAATTGTGCATCTGATTCTCCTAAAATATACAGAGTGTCCCGTTTAAATTAAACAAGTTATTGCCGTTTAAAGGTAGAAGTTACTTAAAATAAATTTTTAGACACTCTGTATGAGATAGTATTATTTTTATTATTGCAACACAATAACTGATCAATAAATAAACTACAGTAAATATTTAGTATTAAAAACTCTGATATCATTGGAGAAATGAACCTTTAAAATTTTTTCTGCAATTCACAAAATTGAAAATATTTCAAAAACGGTAAGGTTTAAGTGTGATAAACCTTAATCAAATTTGGCTTAATTTTAATCGTAGAAACTAAAAATGTAATAATATACAGGGTGATCCATTTAAAAAAATAGAACTTAATATAATAGAAATAATAGAATAATAGAAATATTTTTATTTATTTGGGTCACTCTGCATCTTGTAAAAATACTTTCAAATTGTAGCTCTAATAGTTCTTCAACGAACCCAAAACTAACAATTTGTAAAAATCTAATCGTTTAGCTACAATACTCGGTGTGTCGTATGTGGTGAACAACCCTGTATAAAAATACTAGAGTAAAATATCACTAGTAAATAAATATGTACATAAATAAATAGTTGAATAATATACAAAAAAAAATTAAAACTAAACATAACTAACAGTTGTAAGCATTCCAATGTAAATACCAACACTTGCAAGTACTGCACTGAGTGCACTGTCAAGAATTAAAATTTCTCAACAAAAGAAAATTACCGAAAAGACAACTACGTAGAACAAATTTATTTATAAAAGTATTATTATTGAAATAATTACAAAATAAATATTAGTGAATAATTGTAAACAAATATATAAATACTGAAATGTAAAATAATAAGGGCAACTAAATAAATAAATTGGTTATATCATATGAAAAAAAATAAAAAATATATATTTCTGAACCTAACTAACAGTACTTACCCTTGTAAGCACTGCACTGTTAAGAATTAAATTTTATCAACAAGAAAAAGAAGTAAAGAGACGCAGACGTCACGATAAATATGTGTAGCCGGGATTTCCCGCATAAAAATTCAATTCACCAGAATTGTGACAAATTCATTATACAAGAACTGGATGCCGTGACTACCGCCTAAGGATAAACAACATTTGAATAATAACATAAGCGGACCGATTACGTTCTAACCTTGACTCGAGCCAAATTAAGTACTACTACTGCTATTTGCAAGATAAAGTATCTTAACGAGATATCGCTCTTAGACTGGTTTGGTTCAAAATCGATGCTTCAGTTGACTGGCGGGTCGCGTCTTGGAGATCCCCCCCAATCGCGTTGCAGTGGCGTTTCGATTTTTATTGATTTCTAATTAACTCCGGCAAAACCCCTACGGAACCTCTGTGTAATACGGGAAAAAGTATTCACATGAAACGGGAACCATTTGGAGACTATGACTAACCAGAATTTATCAATATTTAATTATGCACACACATATGTATATGTATTATTAAAGTATTTGTTTTCGATGAGGAGGGAAAAAATCTTGCATAAGACACCCACAGTTGGGTAGTGCCGGATTCTTACCGGCTAAAAAAACCCTCCTCCAACTACCACTTTACACTGGAATCCGCTCTCGCATTGCTTCAATGCAAAGGGTGTCTATTAGGGTGGGCCGTCGAGTAATGTATTTTTATATTTTGTTTTGATCCGGTTTCCTGACCTCACAAAAGTTGTATGTTAAGATACCTTACTTCGTGACGTTTCGCTTTTTAATAAATTATTTTTTTTTCCACTGCAACAGAGCTATAAAAAAATAAGATTTTTGCAGAAAAAAGGTAATTATGTAATGGATGTCAAATTATTATTTTTTAAGTTATTATGGTTGTCTGAGTCAAAAAAGGTGTCTTCATAAGATAGTTTACTGCCACAGAGCTACATGAAAACCAGTTTTTTTTTTTTCAAAAAACTGTATTATAATATATTTTAAGGTGGATTCAAATTTTTCAATTAAAAAAATAAGTTGCACCAAATCTGGCTTTTTTTAATGTATAAAAAGGTAACGAAAATACAAAACAGTTGAAAACTAAACTATAACTATAAAAAACAAAATGGTAACTATTTCCAATAACTCACAGAAAAGGGTACAAAAATACAAAATAGTTGAGAACTAAACTATAACTATAAAAAACAAAATGGTAACTATTTCAAATAACTAACACGTCGTTCCAAAAAAAGTCTTTTTTGAATTCATATTTCGGCATATTTTCCCTCGATTTCAGTCTGTTTCATATTATCCGGCTCTTTTTTCACTTCCACAGTCGGTAGCTGAAGCTTCAGTTACAATTTTGACGGCCCTTTCAACCGCTTGTGTATGGCAAGGATATGTTGTGAAATACGATAAAAGACTGACTTCGGGATTCTCAACAACTTCTTTAAGTTGTTCTTTTGATAGTATCATAGTTACAGGAGGCTCCATCCATAAAACCTTCTGCCAGTCGATCATTTCAAAATAATACTCCTTGGCGTCAAATAATAATTCTTGGCGCTGATCCTTGCAGTTCAACTGCCTACTCTTCAAAATTCTTTGGAATCCCAGTTGCCTTATGTGCTTCCTTTCGTCAAATAGCATAGCCAAAATATTATTCTCTGGACTTCCAAAGAACCCATTCCTTTGAATAATTTTGTAGATAAAATCTTTGAGTTCTACTGGTAAATAGTCGCAGAGTATGTCAGGTAAATGTCTTAAAGAGGTGTCTGGCACCTCTTTCATTACACATTACTCGACGGACGGATTTTTAATGACACGAGCCCTGGAAGCTGCCAAACTTGGCATGCCAGTTGCAACTGCTAGTAAAAGATTTAACGTGCCGCGTATTACATTAAGCAATAAACTAAAAGGCATTAGCCCGGAAGTCTGCAACATGGGGCCTCCTACAGTTCTCTCAGAAGAAGAAGAAAAGTCACCTGGATTGTTGATATTGCAAGAGCTGGATTTCCAGTAACAAGACAATCGTTAATTGATACTGTTGCAAAATTAATAAAAGAACTTAATCGCAAAACTCCATTCCCTGATGGTATTCCCGGTAAGAAATGGTTTAAATCTTTCCTAAAAAGGCATCCTAATATATCTTTAAAAATACCTGAGAAACTTACTGGCTACAGAAGTCAATTAACTGAAATAGATATACGTAACGGGTTTGCGGAAGTTTCAAACTATTTTGAGGAAAATAACTATACAGAAATTTTAGAAAATGGATATCGCATCTTCAATGCTGATGAGACGGCTATTGCATTATGTCCTAAAACGGGAAAAGTGTTGGCGCCAAAAGGGGTTAAAAACATTTATGATGTATCCAAAATCTCGGAAAAGGATAGCCTGACAGTTTTACTGTCAGTTGCAGCCTCTGGCAAAATGGCACCATCGATGGTGGTATATAGTGACTAATTTCCCAAAAACTTGGGGGTTAGGTAAGTCCGATACTGGATGGATGACTGGTGAGGTTATCTTTGAATATATGGCAAATATATTTGAGCCATGGCTAACAGAAAACAATATAGAACGCCCAGTTATATTTTTTGTGGATGGGCACAGATCCCATTTAACGTTACACTTGAGTCTCTTTCTGCGGGAAAAACAAATTATTTTAGTAGCATTCTATCCGAATGCTACTCATATTCTGCAGCCTCTTGACGTGTCAGTATTTCATCCATTAAAATTCAAATGGAAAACATATGTCAGAAAGTGGTTAACAGAGCACAAAAACCAACAAATAATGAGACAGGACGTTGCCCCTATTCTAGAAAATATTCTAAAGGATTCCATATTACCAGAGATTATTACAAGTGGTTTTCGAGTGTGTGGACTATTCCCATTTGATCCCAATAATGTGGACTATTCAAAAATTATACAAAGACCAACAGAAAGCAATAACAAAGAAAACGGCAAAACATCTAATAAGGAGAATCATTCAGTTCAAGAAATAAAAAATTGTTTAAGCATTCTAGAAGTCAATATTCCGCTTCATACTTAAAGCGATAAAATCAAATTCTGGGGATGAATGGAAGGGACCTGAATCATCAAAGGATTTGTACGCTCTTTGGAAGAAATTATTAAAGCTGACAAGTAAATCAGTGCCAATTGAAATTGAAAATATAACTGTAGACACAGAAGAAAATATTAAAGCGCCGGTTGATGTTCCGCAAGAAGATCAGGACGGAGAATTACAACAAAATGATGAGGCTCAAGCACCCGAATATGAAAGAAATATTTACCATACTCCAGACATAACAGTTCCCTCTACTTCAAAAGCGACTATTCCTTTTGAACTAAATAGTATGTATTACCAACCGCATTTCCAAACAGATGATAAACCAATTGAACAAATGTTAATAGAAACTAATACACAGTCAACTGAATCACCTTTTAAGAAATACCTATTTTTTCCCAAAGAAGAACTAAAAAATCAGAAAAGAATAAAAGAAAGATCACGTTCAGTCATCACATCTGACTATTGGTTAAGCGAACAGCAGAAAAAAGAAGAGCTGAAATTACAGAAAGAAGAGTGAAAGCTAACAGAAAACGAACCAGAGAAGAGAAACAAAAAGAAAAAATTAAAAAAAATCAAGAAAAAAATGCAGGGCGGTCAAAAACAAACAGAAAAAAATTAAACACAATAATGTGGAAGAAAATAAACTAGACTGGAAGTGTTACAAATGTAAAGTATTTTGGAGAGATCAGCATTTTTTGGAAAGGAAAGCAAAATGGTTTAGCTGTATTAGTTGTTCAAATAAGATACACAGAATTTGTGTTCCAACAAAACATATAAATACACTAGGACTTGGTATTTCTGATTCTGAAGATGAATCGGAGTTTGTATGTGAAGACTGTGGAATCACTTTAGACAGTAGCGATAGTGATATAAGTGAAAGTTGGGATAATGTAGAAGAAGATTTGTAGGTGTCTTAAATTCCAAGGCTAGATATGTATATCAGAAAAAATACTGATGTTATGGTATCATGTCAGGCGTACTTTATAAATTAGAAGTTAAATTATTTTTTACTGTGGTTTACATTTTTTACCTTTACAAGTACAAATCATATTGTCAATACAATGTTGTTTTCTTCCATGTACTAACCATAAGTAGTATGTAATGATTTGAAATCTTTTGAATATTAATAAATGTGAGCAAAAAATCGATTAATAGTTTTATTTCGTAAATCAATTAATATTGAATAGATTTGAAAAAAAATCTTCAGTATCCCAATATCTTACTTAAAAATATCCTTATGAAAATCACTTTAGAAAGTCACGTCCATTACTGGATCTATGACTGTCCAAACTAGGATCTAACAAAAATTTGTGTGTCCATTTTTGGGGTAGTGGGCATCCAAAATCCAATATTTTTTAATAACAATATAATTCAATTTTAAAGATTACATGCCTTGGGCAATTAAAGAGCAGATTATGAACTTGAATTATATATATGAACAAACCACACTAACTTTATTCGTATGTATTATTCATGCAATTACAAATTTCATGAAGCTTAATGTGGCCATTATTGGTTCCACTACCCTAGTAAAAATCACGATTGTCCGGTAATTTTCATTCAATCCAAAAAATTTTAAAAATGCCTTATGTTGGATTAATAAATGTACAGAGGGTAAGAATTATTGCTCTCACCGAACAAGGAATGCTCCAGAGAGACGTAGCAGAGATAGTAGGCGTTACCCAGGGTGTTGTATCGAGAACATATGCAAGATACTTGGTATTAGGAACACACAAGGATAGGCCCATACAAATTCGCCAAAGAGTCTCAACTGAACAACAAGACCGCCTTGTGTGCTAAATTGCTAGAATAAATCCCAATGTTTCTCATCCAGAGCTACAAAGAGAACTTCTGGCAGCTACAAGTGTGAACATTTCAGTTGAAACCATAAGAAACAGTCTTCGTGCACGAGGGTTTTACAGTAGGAAAGAGTTACGGATCCTACAGTTATCTCGGCAAAATAAAATTGACCGGCTAAATTGATGCCTTCACATCAAAACTGGACAACTGAGAATTGGCAAAATGTTCTTTTTTTCGGATGAGAGCAGAATTGGCCTAAGATCAGATAACCATTGAATTCGGGTTCTTAGAACTCCAGGAAGACGAGCGAGACTTCAGGCTGCCAAATCTGTACCAAGATATAAAGGAGGAACTGTAATTTTCTGGGGAGGTATTATACTAGGAGCAAAAACTCCATTGTTACCACTTCAACAAATTTTAACGGGTCGGAGATATGTTGATTTGGTGCTAGAACCAATCGTTAGTCTGTGGAGAGCTGCAATTGGGGATAATTTTAATTTCATGCTCGATAGTGCACTTCCGCATACCAGCAGAGTGACTAGAGAACGTATTGAAATGGAATTTGTCATAGTTTTGGACTGGCCTGCCTATTTACCAGATCTAAACCCTATCGAACACTTGTGGGACTAGCTCAAAAGAAGGGTTAGGGCTCGTCGAAACAATCCAGGAAATATCGCACAGCTTATTGATGCAGCATTAGCATAATGGGAAAACATACCCCAAGACAACGTGGATAATTTAACAAGAAGCATGCCAGCGCGGATAGAAGCTTGCATAAGGGCTAGAGGTGGCAACAAAGAATATTAAAATTACCAATTTTCTTTTTGTTTAAGCTTTTTGGCCATTAAAAATTTAAATCTTAATTTCGTTTCAGAAACCAAAAAAATACCATTTTGTTTATTTTGGGAACTGATTATTTTTTTATTGCTATATGGATTATTTTTCATTAAAGGTCATTGGTAAGGACTGAGTTTTATTCATAAAGAGAAAATTTTCATACATCTCAAAAATTATGGGAAATAATAGGTGATTCCATATAAGTTTGGTTGTGTGTATATATATTATCCACACTATCCATGCCTCTCAAATCGAAAACTAGGTCAACGGGTTCTACCTTTATTTTTTCATTGTAATATTATCTTTCTAAAACGTGGTATATTATCATAGCTGATATGAGAGGTTTTCATGATTATTGTATCAGTATTTATATTATTGGAAATCTCATGTGAAGATTCGTCGAAAGGGATCGAAACAAATCGATCGGCGACATCTCACCAGTAGAAAAAGGAGGCAAAAAATCCTTAAAAACGCGTTACGTAATTTATGGACGCCCCCTTATATGATATATACGAAAGCGCCAGAGCCAGTAACGCAGCAAGAGGAGGGCTAGGGTGAGCTTGTCCGCCCAACCACAAATTTAGCCTCCTGATGGTTAGTGTCATTTAAAATTCACCCCAAAAGACTTGAGCCCCCCTAAAAGTCTATGATGTCCTCTATGATGTCTAGTTGCGCCACTGGCCGAACTATCACTTATCTTACCATATAAATTGTGTATTCATCGACTATTTATACACATAAAAAACGTGTCTATAACAAAAAATTAAAAGGTATAGAAAAGCAAATTAACACATGTATATGTCAATTAAGTAAACTCTCGTACATCATTAAAATCTCATTTGATTCAGGTACGTATTCTCTCTAAATACGCTGACTAGACTGGAATTACGTACTTATTATATTAAATTAATTTGTAAATTAGTACCAAATTATTTCTTGTAAATTAGTATACATATATTGTATGAGCAATCAAAAAATTCTACTCGTTTGAAAAAAAAATACGGATATTTGTTTACCACATTTTATTTCTTTACAAATAAATATATATGCCGTTTATTATTTTTTAAAATTAAAAGTTTCTACGCCTCTGAACAATCAGCTAAATATAAAGATATATAAATCAAATTAAATTATACATTTTTTTAGTTTTAGTTTTAAAATGGAATTTTAAATTTTCTACGTGCTGATTACGTTTTTTAGTAAAACATATATGCATTATTGATTGCAAAAAAGTCATTTTATGAAAAAAAAAATAATAATGTGGAAATAAGTGTACTTAATACAAATTAACACGTGTTATTTATTTATTTGTTGTTATAAATAGAAATGAAGTTATTTAGTATTAAAAAAGCAGAACCAAAAGTATTTAAAATCATACTTTAAAAATATATTTTGTATAAATTCTGTATTGATTAACAAAATGCATAAAGCAATGAAAGTTGGTATTGTTATCAAATAAAGATGTATTTGTAAACCAAAATTTGTTTTTAACGGAATTGATAACCAAATGAACTATAGTCTCAATACAATATTTAATTTTATGCATATAGGTCATCCTAAAATTAAAACTTAAATTTATATTTTTTGTTTAGATTATATTCTTAAAAATTTCACTTAAATTTCTTATAGTTTATAATACCTATATTACTTTATTGCTACTTTATATGTATATGTAGAACAAGGACGAAATTTGCATATTATTTTAAAATGAATAAATGATCTTAAGTCAGTTTTCTAAGATTTAATTTACATACTTACTTAACATGAAGGGTCGTGAAAGAAATAATAATTAATCACGGACTGGTAAAAAAATAATAAATTTAGTTAGAATTGGAATAGCAAAATAAAACACAAATTCACCAGAATACACCAAAACACTTTACTAAACGTTAAACACCGGAAGCGCGTTTCGCTAACTATGTTAGCATCATCAGCAGATGATTAAGACTTATTGGTGCAGATGATTAAACTTATAATCATGTGCTGATAATGCTAACATGGTTAGCGAAATGCACATCCAGTGTTTAAAAGTAAAAAGTAAAGTGTTTTGGTATATTGTGGTGAATTAGTGTTTTATTTTGCTGTTGTAACATACAAATGCTTTAACCCCCAACCGTAATACCTACACTGGAATTTTCAAATTATTAAAATTTGACATTTTTAGTAAAATAGTTGTTTTGATAAAAATGCATTATCTCTCTTCAATAATTGTCCAGGCAGCAGAAATAGAGCAAACAGCAAAACCATTTTTTAGGAAACCATGTCAGAGATCGAAAACCTAAACAAATATCCTTTATGTTACTATACAATACTTCGACTTATGTGCATGTATAGTTGCCAGTTTATTGACATTTATCAGTTGACATAATCATAACCCAAGAGGGAGAATGTTATCTTAAAAACAAGTGCAAATATTTTCAACGCTCTTAGAGGCGGTAGATGTCGATAAAAGAAACAGGTCCAATATAACCTAGTTATTTTACTTTGAAAATAAAAAAATATATATTTTTTGCTTAAATTTTGAGAACCACTGAAACTTTTCTGGGTTTTCTTTCTTGTAAATTTAATCTATCTATGTTTCCTTATTACCAAAATATTATGTTTTTTTAAATTATAAAAAAAATAAAAATATTTATTTGCACTTATTTAAGACCCACCCTGTATAATACATGCTGCTAGAAGTTAGTGGCATAATGCTTTACTTTGAGTTCTTTTATTAATGACTGAGACATTTTTTGACTTCATTTAATTTTGATAACATACTAACATCGTCAATTTTTTAGATAATATTTAGCTGTGTGCTCCTTAAGAACAATAACTATTGACATTACGCATCCTCATTTTATGAACAGGATGCAACACAAGTCCGATATCTGTGTCTTTTAAACAAACGGTTACGCATCATATCTATCCTTGAATTTGCCGGTCTGGTAAAACCGTATTTATTAGTGAAAACTAGTGAAAAGTACAAAGATTCGCAAAATATAGCTAATTCCACAGACTATACCCTGAATACACAATTATGAAAGTTGTTTTATTGTTCGCGTTCTGCGAAAGATCAAAAACCTACCTTCTACTAATTTCATATTCCATATTGTTAAGATTTATATGAACCTTGTTTATATATTCATATACAAGAGGTACTAATACAATAAAACTATCATACGAAAAGCAACAGTTTTGGGATATGTTTCTTATGAAGACTATATGGTTGTATGTACTTTGTTTGACTTAGGGTTGTATGTACTTTATTTTTAGGGTTGTTTGTTTACCGAGGAGTAAGCGAGAAAACTGTGATACGAGAATTGTATACCGGGTGCGTCTCAAAAGTGGCTCACCCCTATATTTTTTTTATTTTTTCAGATAAAACAACGAGATTTGGTATGTTAGTATATGACATAAATTGGGATTGATTGACGTATTCAATTGTTTTCGATCACTTCCGGTTTCACCAGAAATGACTACAACTTTTGATTTTTAAATGACACCCTCGATATTTTTTTACTTTCCGGTCTAACCGAAAACAATTGAACATGTCAATCAATCCTAATTTATGTCATATACTAACATACCAAATCTCGTTGTTTTATCTGAAAAAATACAAAAAGTTATAGGGGTGAGCCACTTTTGAGACGCACCCGGTATATTAGATGTACTTTTGAAGTCACACCCATATTTAGGTAGGTAAAAATAAAACAAGAAATAGTTTTGTATAAAAAATTTAATAAAAGTTTTGTATATTACCTAAAAAAATCATAAATTTAATATGTATACGATGAAGTATCTAACCCATTAGCTTTCATTTGCGTATCGATCCAGTTCCTAAATAATGGCAAGTTAACGTAAACACCAGGTATATTATTTTCTCCACAGCCAATACCCCAAGCTACGATACCCATTTGGTAGTACCTATCCTCTTTATCTCCCGGAACTGGACAAACCAAAGGACCTCCACCATCACCTTTGCACGTGTCCTTTCCAGGTTGTCCTCCTGCACAAATAAAGGACTGATGAAGCTGGAAGAATTTCCCTAGCCTAGTCGTCCTCAATCTATCCTGACACACATTATTTGGAACCAAAGGCAAGTCGATCTTTTTCAGGATAACTTGATATCTTCCTTTCTGTCCGAAAACATCTTTACCCCAACCAGTAGCAAAGCACGTGGATTGGTCTAGAGTAATCCCCTGAGGAGGTAAACAAATTGTTTCGACATTTTTAGTGATTTCGACTGGAGAAGAAAGGTACAGAACTGCTACGTCGTTGAACAAAGCTCCAGCGTAGTACTGGGGGTGTATGGTAACGCTTTGGACGTCTCGGTCTTGGTAAGGGTACAGTTCTCTATTGTGCTGTGAATCCCATTCGCCGGCTCTGATTTTGAAGGTCTTGTCTTTGCCAGTGACACAGTGCGCAGCGGTGACTACCATTTGCGGATGAATTAGAGCGCCACCGCATTGATAGACGTTGAGTTTGTTGCTATTTCCGGGTACGGATTCCTCTTGGATCACGGCTATCATCCAGGGAAATTCGCCAAATTGGGCTTCATTTTCGCTGTCGCCGGTTATTCGAAAACCGACACCGTCGGCGTGACGGTAACCACAACCGGTTTTCACAACAGGCGGGGGTGTTGGCGTGATGGGATTTTCAGCCTGATCTTCTTTGTTGCAACAAACCTCGATGTAACTCGCACAAGGACCGTCATTAATTCTGCAACAAAATATAAAATGTTTTTCAAACGTATTACAGCAAAAATTTAAAAGTTATTCAAGATATTCAAAGTTTTTTCCATGGTATTCTACCGAAAAGAACTAAAATTGATATAGAAAAATCTACGCTTTAGGAGCAATTCTGATAAAATGTTTTCAAAGTGGTGGAAATGAGATACCTTACGAGGATGATGATTCCGATTTTCCCATGTAGACGGCAATATAGGTGCAAAAAAAATCTATGCAATTCGTTTACGCATCTCTTGTAAGACACACATTAAATTACCAGCCATTTTCGATGCTTCATTGTTCTTCGATAGTGGGTTAAGTGAGTTGTTGTAAGAATGTTTAGAATTACAATACCTTAGATGCCGTGTACAGTGACTCTACATCATCATTACTACTGTGATATTTTGAGCATCTGAATTAAAACGTCACCTTAGTAGTGTTACCAACCGTCCAAGAGGACAATCCTCTTGGATATCAATTTTTGATCATGCTATTCTCTTTTCTCACAGGTATTGAAAGATCCTCTTTTTTACACACCAAACTCAAAACCTTAGGAATATCAAAAACTGCAGGACAAAATCCAAACAATGGCACAAAACAAGTAAGAAATCTGTAAATGTGAGCCACATCTGTTTCTTAAAAGTTTAGAAAAGGCATTAAAAATATGAAAGTACATTATTAAATTAAACGAAGTATTTGCTTTTGCCAGACATTTTTGATGCGAAAAAACCTTTACAAATATTTTAAGATAAAAAAATTATGAGGGAGGTCGACATTGTTGATGGTTGTTTTCATTTTGAAATCCACACACAGACAGACTATTTTAGTTTGGTATTTTGTTTCTTCACATTTAGAAACAGTGGTTGCTGAAAACGAAAACATCTTGGACACAAATTGCAGAAAATTTTTCGAAACATCTCCCCTAAAAGTAATAGAGCCATATAAAATATATGTGTTTCGAAAATGTTTCCTATTTGTGGCATACCGTTTCCAATTTGTACAAGAAACAGACACAATTATTAGAAACACCTAAAATGTTTCCAAAAATGCTACTTGAGAACTTTCGGGTAAATTCTTTACAACATTTGGGCGAGGTTTCAAAAAATGTGTCTGCCACAGTTTTTTACCCTCTCATTCTTTATTTTTTATTTTGAAAGTTGGCAACCTTACCATATAGCTAGCGAGGTACAGGGTGGTAATAAATTAAAAATAATTTATTTAAAAAGTGGTAAAAAATTGTAACAACTGATGATAATGTTAATAATTAATGTACAATATCAAAAAATGGTGATCAAAATCATGAACATTTCCAAAGCTCTATTAAATAAATAAAAAATCTATATTTCCAAATAATAATATAAAAAATTGTGGTGGAATAGTCGAGAAACAAAGATTGAAATAATTGCAATAATAATAGCAAAGCAAAGAAATTAATCTATACAATAATACGATGATGACATAGTATGATGATAACAGCTGTAAATAAAAAAACACCTTTTACGTATAAATCTATATTATAAAAACGATAAAAAATATTGACACAAACAATATCTTTTTTTTCGTTAGTATGATTCGATTGTTACTGGTCTAGTTGAGACAAAGCAAACCAGAGTTTTGACACTGTTTAACAGTGATGTGCGCCACAGTGGGGTATTAGCATGAAAAAGGTGATAGAAATTCGAAAAAGCAAATATGTTTAAGATTTCCCAAAAAAAGGTAAATGATCTCGAAGTTAAATCATCTCTGCCATGAATGGCGTTGCTATGGGTGTGTTTAGTTGCATTCATTTGTTTCAACGAAACGTCAAAGTTGTTACTTCTCACAGATAAGAGGTAAATGGCTAAATTTTATGTTTAAAATTATAAATTGTTGTTGTTCTTGTGCTCTTTTTACGTTTATATTATTGTTTTGATTGAAAATGGCTCAGCAAGCTGCAGGTATGTATTCTACAAAAACGTATTATTTATTTTGATATTCTCTATACTAACGATTTTTTGCAACTAAAAGTTAGGCGTTCAGAAAATTTGATTAAATTTGTGACATTTTTATTATACTTAGAGATTTAGTTGCGCATTTCGAAGAATTCAACATATTGTCTATATACGTTTTACTTGGTAAACATTGGGCTTTCATACAGCAAAATAAAATACTTCGACTTTTTGCGACTTTGCTGATAAAATGAGAAAAACATTCTTGGTTTCCTCTATGATATACTAATGCGAGGTGTAAACCGCGATGGGGCATTGTTGTGTACAAAGCGATCGCATTAGTGCCATTAGCAGTATAGCACAATTTGGCATTATAGTAGCGACTTTAGTGGTATGGGCATTGCTCGCGGATCAGTCGTAGCATTTGTAGTATTAGTTGCGATATTACTACTGGCATTAGTGGCATTGACCGTGGAAACACTGGAATGACTGGAACAGTGATTTTTCTTTCTTTTTTTAGAATCGACGAATTATCCTTTATTTTGTTCATATTATTTCCTCTTTAATTGAAAATAGCAATAATTTATAAGGTCTACATAAAAAAAAATTCGATCAACTATCTGTGTCAAATACCCCACTGTGAGGCGGTGGGTAAGGGGTAAGAGGGTAAATTTCCCGTATACAATTCGGACCACCCTGTATAGTGTTGTATTTTGGAAGCATGCTACTAATATTAGGTAATAATATTTATTGTAGTCTATATTTTTTATCGCTTTTGAGCACAATTATTAGGAGTTTCTGAAACCCCTAAAAATATTTAATCTAATTTATTATTTTCTTTTTAAGATCGAGTTGAATGATGTCTTTTTCTGATAATACTCAAAAAAAAATATTGGCTGTATAATACAAGAAGTGACCTACCTGATGTCAATTATTCCTTCTCCGTTAGTGTTAATCGATCCATTATTGCAAAGATAATATGGCACACAATTACATCCGCTGTTGCTGTCCGCACCGCTGTTACTATGCGTCCTAACCGTGGTGGTGCTACTGCTAGGACCACTACTACTTAAAGAATATATGTCGTCTATTAGTTTCTGGGTTTCTGGATCTAATAGAAAAGATATAAATAGTATCAGGATTTACAACAGTCAAATAAAACACTAATTAACCACAATACACCTAAACACTTCCTATCCATGTTAGCATCGCTAGTATAATAGCAAAATAAAAAAATACTACTACACACAGATATATTCCCAATGAGTATTATCATAGTATTGAATATAAGAGGGCTTGTTTAAATTTCTTAGTTCATAGACTACTTAGTTTTCCACTTACCAATGAAAGATACGAAATAGAAAGAAATTACATTAGGAATGTAGCTAAGTTTAATGGATATTCTCCTTCATTACTTGATAAAATATATAATTAGAAAACGTAGGTATAAGTTTGCGATTTCTGCAAATTCGTCTTTTCGAGTGGAAAAAGATACGTCACAATATATTTCATTACCGTTTGATAGAGTTATCCCATGGTAAAAATTTTCATGAATGTCAATTATAATACACATGTGTATAGTACTAACAATAAATTACAACAACCTATTAGGTAATCCTAAAGATAAAACAATTTCACTGGAAAGGTCGGGTATTTTTGAAATTTCATGTAAAGATTGTAATCAGAAATATGTATGGGCAAACTAGAAGATATGGTACTCCAGATAAAGGTTGCGTTGCTCGTTTGATAAAGATCATTGTATAGATACTAATAATTTAAATTAATTAAAGAAGTCGCAAACTACAGTCAATTAGATGCATATGAGGGCGTCAGAATTAATAAATGTAAAGACAATACGAACAAAGATAATGGGCCAATTCCTTCGAGTTCTCTGTTTCTATTGCTCTGTTCCTTGTTACGCCCTGTTGGTTTTGACTCTTTTGCTAGTCCCGCTACACTTGGTCGGTGCCAACTTAGCACCTATATCAAAGCTCAATTTGTAGGTATTAGTTTAGTTTAAATAATCTGCTGGTGATGCTAACATGGTTAACGAAACGCGCGTCCAGTGAAAAATTAAAGTGTTTTGGTGTTTTGTGGTGTTGTGACACCAAAGGTTCCTACCCCCAAAATTCTAATAGTTAGTACCGTATGATCGAATAAAAACGGCATCAGCGATGGCTATGAAATGAAGATCGCTGTCATTTTATACTAAGGGCTGGCAAAGGTTAGTCTTGGGTCGAGAATTCCGTATGTAAGAAGAGTACAATGCGTTTATAATACACTGAACAAAGAGAGGACAGTAAACACGTTGCCAAACGTATGAAATAAACCAAGAAACTGTGCACATCGCTAAGAGACGTGGAAGGGGATATAGCAGATTTGTCGCAGTTGACCGGTCGACCCAATCAATAGCTTTTTTCGTTTTCCTGTTATTACCGATTCTGAATCGTCCTAGAACTCTGCAGCGCATGCGCAAATGAAATAATGTCTTCATATTTCCTTCTGCGCATACGCATCACAATTCTAGGACGGTTCAGAATCGGTAATAACAGGAAAACGAAAAAAGCTAATACCTCTGTCAGTACTTAAAGTTCTAGAGAAAGGTGTACGTCATGCGTTCAGCTTCACGATTTAATGACGTCTCGTGATACTTGACTTGTTTATTTATTAACGAGTTGTTGTAATTTTCCCTTTTTTTAAGTGCTAGCTAGAAACACTTGCATTTTTGGTAAAAATAAGTGGAATTGAGTGGGTGTTCGATAGTGGTCGCGCTATTAGAACTCTGAATTCAAAAATCGATATCTATTAGAAATAATAGATTGTAGTTTTTTCGAGAACTTTGTTAATATTTCTGCTGTATTTTCTTTGTAGACAGTATGTGAAAATCTTTATCAATAAAAAAATTACACGATTGCTGAAAATTTCTATGCTCTAAAAGTAAATGGATGGATTGTTTACAATTTTTGAATGGAAAAAACAACCTTATCGAATTTTTCTTATGTAAACATATTGTAAAATATCCGATCTTGAAAATAAAAAAAAGTTTCAATATCTAAAGTGGTTCTTGAGTTATGGCCTGTTATGTGTTAAAAAGTTCAGTTTTTAAATTATCGCGATTACTGACGTTTTCTCGTTATAAAAAACATGACACCTTAACGATATCCTTATAATTCCATTTCAGATGCTCAGAAACATTACAAACCTAATGATTTTATTTAGTTATCTCTTGAAAAAAAAAAGTATTTTAAAAATAAGCGGTTTGCGATAGTGATTTTACTTTACTTGATAGGGAAAGGCGTATCGGCAACGCCGCAACAGCACACCGTCGCGCGTCGCGTCGGTCGGTTGCATTTCTCTCACTCCGACTTAATAAGATCCCTATGCGATTTACTTCCACACATGTAAATGCCGACCCAAAAGTAACAGTTGCCAGCACGGTATGTAAAATTATATGGGAAATGTCATCGATCGTCAATTCCAAGCCAAGTGGATGCCGTTTTTTTCGATCATACGGTATAATAATATAATAATCTACTGGTGATCTACCATCCTTGGAAAACACGCGTCCAATGTTTAAAGTGTATTGTTGTGAATTGAAACATGTATAATAAAAGATTTACTATCAACTTCCGATGGTTTTTCCGGAAAAACGGTTATATTGAAAATATTTTTAAGAAAGAGAACTTAAAAGTCTCCAATTTAATTATTTCCTAGAAATTTTTAATGGAAGATCATCCATGGACTAGAAGCTAAGTTAATAGAAAACAAATTATATTATTTACCTAGAGTACTACTATCTTCCGCATTTTGTTGTTTATTTTTGGCTAAAAGATCTGCAAGGCTACCAGCTTCAGTTTGGGCGTTAACTGTCACAGTCAGTAGGTAACTGGACACTAGCAAGATCCATATCCGTAATACCATGACAATTATCTGAAAAAAGATAAAATAAAAATTTAATAATTTACCGCATATATCGACTAGTGTAGATAAAAGTACAGTTAGATCTATTAAAAACATAGATTTTCTTAAGGCAAGTATTAAGAAATTAAATTATACGAGGATTCTAGAGAACTATAGAAGAGCAGAGCTCAGTTAGGCTCTGAATTTCGCTCCTTCTCATTTAGAAGTGACTGACGTTTATGCTTTTAGCCGACCAACCAATAGGTATATGGTAGGCTATTAAAATCGGCAAAAAAAAGGTTTTTCATTTCACTCAAAATGAGTTGTATGGGTCATAAATGACCTAAATACAAAATATTTTCATTGTTTGAAAATTTAAAAAAAATATATTTTTTGAGAACCACTGGATCTTTTTTATAATTTTAATCTCTTAGCTATGTTGCCATATTATCAAGAAATTATGTTTTTTGACTAAAAACTAAAAAAAAAGGTCCAAAAATATTTTCAAAAAATTCCGAATTTTCAAATTTCTTTTTCGCGAAAAAAACTCATAAGCGTGTTTCTGGGGTTGAACTATATAATACCAGTTAAACTTGCATTTATTTCTGGGACACCCTGTATAGTGGTAGAAAAAACAGTAGATATCTTTTAAACACTATTATTTTTTGAAGTATTCTCCACGAAGAGAAATTCATTTTTGCATCCCTTGGAACCAATTCTGAAAGCAGTTATTCCACTCGCTTGTTGGTACCTTTAAAATTACGTTCTTGAAGGCGCTCACTGCATCTTCTACGTACTGGAATCTTTGACCACGCAGTTTATTCTTAATTTTTGGAAATTTCACGGATTAATTCAATTTTTCGATTGACTCGCCAACTTCAAAAATTCGATTTAGATACAGTTTTAAACAAAGAGGTCTCAAACAGTTAATTTTGACATTTGATATTATGTCCGCCTACTATGTTTTTATGTCAAAATATAAAAGAAAACCCTAGTAGTAATATTTTTTCATATAAATTATTAAAATAATAATAATATAAAATATTCTCCACCATGGAGCAAACCAATAACTATAGGACTAATAATATCTTGTATTTCTGTATTTCTTCTTTATCAAAAAGAGAGAACGTAAGAACTTTACAAATAAACAAAAATATAGAAATAATAAAAATGTATGTCATGCGATTACGAGAAAACAATCCTAAGAAATAATTTCACAACAATTAAAGGTTCTTGGCAATGTTTGTTAATAAAGTAGCTTGAAGGCCACTTGTAACAAACGTGCAAAAATTTATTAATTAGGAAAATATATAATATAAATCAGATATAATACAAAAAAGTTATATCGAGATATGTGGCACATGGTAATTTCCCGATGTAATCTAATTTAGCTTGAATGCTATAACCCTTGCTATAACTAATTGCATTATACCGGGTGCGTCTCAAAAGTGGCTCACCCCTATAACTTTTTTCTTTCAGATAAAAAAAACGAGATTTGGCTTATTAGTATATGACATAAATTAGGATTGATTGACGTTTTCAATTGTTTTCGGTCACTTCCTGTTTCACCGGAAATGACTACAACTTTTGATTTTTAAATGGCACCCTCAGTATTTATTTACTTTATTCGATAGAAAATGACTTTCTGAATCGAATGACATATCATATGTCAACTTTTGACATATTCACTCAAAAACAAATTTCAATCTAGAGTGCCATGGCTGTGTTAAAAACACTAATTTTTAATCAAGGAGCCTTGGAAAAATAGATTTGATTGTCTAATGCTTTCAGTGTCTTGTCCAGGGGCGCTATTCTGTACAATCGTCGGTATCGGTAAGTTACCGACAGCTAGCGATACGTATTTGTATATAGTAAATATGTGTTGATTGTTGTTGTCATTGTTACCGATCGGCCCTATGACAGATATCGCAAATTTGTACCGACGACTCTCGGTATCTCTACCGTGAGGTTGACAAGGGCACGGTAGAGATACCGATTTTCGTCGGTACACATTTGCGATATCTGTCATAGGGCCGATCGGTAACTATGACAACAACAATCAACACATGTTTACTATATACAAATACGTACCGATAGCTGTCATAACTTACCGATACCGACAATTTTACAGAATAGCGCCCCCAGGCCGGTTAAAAGATGCCCATATCGTATTTTTAATAATATCTCAATTTTTTTCAAATGGAACGAGGATGGCTCATTAGCATATTTGTAAAAAGCATTTTTTACCAATAATTTGATACCACACACTTGGTATTTCAAGTCAAATTGTCGTTATGAACCGCATGTTATAATTTCAAACAAAACATATGCGAAAATGTCAAAAGTTGACATATGATAGGTCATTCTATTCAAAGTGTCATTTCCTATCGAATAAAGTAAAAAGATATCGATGCGTGCCGTTTAAAAATCAATAATTGTAGTCATTTCCGGTGAAACGGGAAGTGACCAAAAACAATTGAATATAATATATCAATCAATCCTAATTTTTGTCATATACTAACATACAGTACATCTGCTGGATCTGTGTCTATAAAAGGAATGCGGACAAAAAACATTTAAATAAACAGCAATATATTTTATACGTCGATTTGACGAGTGCGTCACCGCAAATCGCTGCGCCCACTCATTTTATTGGCTACCTGCAAATTTGTTGAATTTTTATTGATAGGACGCGTCGTCTATTTTTTTACGAAAAACATCGAGAGAATATCCCCCTCGGTATCCGTGAGAGAGTTTCCCCTCTCACGGATACCTCGTAGCTACAGAACGGACAGACGTACTGTACCAAATCTCTTTTTTTTATCTGAAAGAATAAAAAAGTTATAGGGGTGAGCCACTTTCGAGACGCACCCGGTATATGACTAATTATAACTATTTCAATACATTTTCATAGTATTATAGGCATTTTTGTAGAGTTATTAAATAAATAAGACACATAATTTCTAATATTTAAATAAATAAGACAAACTCTTCGTGTTTTCAAAAATTGGCAAACCAAATTAACTTCAAGATAAATAAATGTATAGCAATCATAGAGTAAAGTGACTAAGGAACGAGTCAACTAAGAAGGTGTATAAATCTGGTAGTCCAGAAGGGCAGTAAATTTCTTTTTGTATTTATTTCCCCAGTGGGTGAATATATAAAAGTATGATCGCTAGGAAACTCAGTCTGGCTGAAAATTTGCGAATGCAATAATTTTACAGATTTTTGAAATCAGTAACCCTTATTTTCCCCTGCTTGAAATTTCAATACATTCCTTTACATTACAACGTACCATTTCATACTGCCAAAGAATATTTTAAAAATTATAATATTCTTTGATACTACCATACATTATAATCAAAAGCAAGTCTGGCTGATTTACGAAACTGGCAAATGAGTCTGACGGCATCTTGAAAATTGCAAAAATTACAAAATTGTTGTTCTTATTGTCCCGGATTTGAAAATTTGTCACATGATAAATAATACTATAATTTCATAGAAAATACACGTCTGGCTGTCATTTGCAATCAGGAAAACCCCGCCAGACTTACAAGACAGGTAGTTAAATGAGGAGAAGAAGCGGCATTGTATAACCCAAAATGTCGAATTTAGCGTGCCTGACGAGCGTTGGACGAATCTGGAATGGCTTTCGGGATGTTTCATATTGGCCACACTATATTACATTGAAATAACTATATATATACTCACCGTGTGCTTATTTTTTTGTCAATAATGACATGTATTGACTATTTCCATTTTAAATATCTTGAGAACGGTTGCTCGTAGCGATTTTTACCAAGAGACATTTTTTACGTAGAAAGTCATGGAAATGTATATTTTTTCAGTCAGTAGTTTTATACAGATACGGACAAAAAGTTATTACTCTTCAAAACAGTTAAAACACATGTAGGTGGCGCCCTCTACAAATAGGAGTCATTTTGACATCAAAATCAAGTTTCTCGTGTCACAAAAGCCCTAGACATCAATTTTCATCCAAATATTGACGTTACTTCATAAATTATTTGGAAAAAATCAAAATAAAAATGAAACTTCTACACCCTGTATCTCCGAAACTAAGCATTTCAGGACATACATTTATACGAACTTTTTACTTATTTTTATCTGCAGAATATGCTGCCGAAGTTTCCGGAATATACCCTGTATTTGTATTCTCTAGCGCATTTTTTCCGGCTCAATCCATCGGAAACCCCCCTCCCCCTACATATACCGAGTGCGTCATAAAAGTGGCTCACTCCTATAACTTTTTATTTTTTCAGACAAAAAAAACGAAATTTGGTATGTTAGTATACGACATAAATTAGGATTGATTGACGTATTTAATTGTTTTTGGTCACTTCCTGTTTCACGGGAAATGATTACAACTTTTGATTTTTAAATGGCACCCTCGGTATATTTCTACTTTATTCGATAGAAAATTACACTCTAAAGAGAAGACATATCATATGTCAACTTTTGACATTTCTGCTTAAAACAAATAGTATTTTAGATTTCAATCATGTGTTAAAAATACTAATTTTTAATCAAGGAGCCTTGAAACAATAGATTTGACCGTCTAATGTTTTTTGTGTCTTGTCCTGGCCGGTTAAAAGTTAAAAGATGCCCAAATTGTATTTTTAATCATATCTGAATTTTTTTAAATGGAACGAGGGTGGCTCATTAACATATTTGGTATTGCATTTTTTTACAAATAATTTGATACCACACACTTGGTAGTTCGAGCCAAATTTCTTTATAAATCGGATGTTGCAATTTCAAATAAACCATATTCGAAAATGTCAAAAGTTGAAATATGATTGACATTTTCATTCTATTCAGTGTGTCATTTTCTATCGAATAAAGGATGTATTTTTTATGTTCTTATGTAAGTATGTTCTTTATGTATGCTTTTATGTTCTGTTTCTATCGGTTTCTTGAAAGTTTTTTATTACGGAACACGATTCCTGAAAAATTCGGTTATAACTGTCACCAAACTAACCAGCGAAAGAAGGCTGGTTTTTCTGGTTTTG